AGACAGTCACTTACCTCTCGGCCCCATTCAGCTGCAGCCAGAAGAGTGACTGACCACAGCCTGTCTTCATTTGAACCGCTTCTTAAGTGGGAGAGGGGTGCGTATTTAGGGTGTAAGGACCATCATGGATTCAGTACTGCAGCACTGTGTGTGCACCAGCCCTCCCATAAACCAATCAGGGCTACACCTGCAAAGTGCTTCGGTGCTTTGCTTAATTCTCCTGCTGGAAGATAGCTCCAAAGCCTTGCTGTGCCGCTGGCTGGAAGCTTTGTTTCCAACCTAGGCTTATTCCTTGCCAATTTTGACTTGTCTGAACTTGTGCAACAATATATCTGGTATCCCTGAGGGATAGAAAAACCCCCACCTCTTACTCTCCATGGATGACAGTTGACAAGTGCTATCCATCTTCCTATAAAGGGACTTAAAGGATGTTATGGAAAAAATCCTTTTCTCTCAAGTTTTTGTAACAGGGGGATAAGGAGCAGTTACTAAGTTTGTCCTTCTTGCAAACAGGGCTTGGTAAGGCAGAACAAATCCAATGCTCTCCCCTACTTCCTCACTGGATTTCTGTTCTCTGTTTTAGGTTATTGCTGCTCAACCAATTCCATGATGTTTTGCCAGGCAGCTGTATCCAGATGGTCGTTGAGGATGCCCTGCAATACTACGCAGGTGAGCAAGAGGTTTGGCAAGGAGGGCATTTACGGGTTGGAGCACACTGGGTCCTGCCTGGTGGGGCTGCAGAGGTTTCAATCCTGGACTGCCAGGCACTATGGGTCAAACCTGTGCAGGCATGTGTCTTGTCATAGTGCTAACTCAGCAGGGAATTGTTCTCAGGGCAGCCAAGGGATTGAAAACATCCTGAGTTGCTGCCTTCTCTGTTTGCTACTGGCATGCCAGGGGGGACCCCAGCGGCTGCCAGCCCAGAGGCACTTGCAGTAGCTTTGCTTTATTATAGCACCACAGTTTTCCAGTTGAGCTGGCATAGCTCATTGTGATCTTGTAATAACGAAGTTAAGAATAATTATAAACTTTAGTTACTTACTAGTAGATGATAATAATAATTAATAGTAATTGTAGCTTGGAAGTAGCTCAAGTGTGTGTAAATTGCACAGAAGTGCCAGAAACTCTCTCAGATGTGAGAAACAGCCTGGCCAGATCCAGCTCAGGCCTTTTTGCTGCTCAGAGATCCGCCGTGCTGGCGCTCGGCTGCAGGAGGAAGCTGTGCAGGCCTTGTGCAGTGAGCTGCTGCAGCCCGAGGCAGGGAGCACTGAGAGCACCCTCGTGTTGAACACTCTGCCGTGGGAACGGACCGAGGTGATCTCCAGGAGTGGGCCAGACGGAACAGAGGCTTTAGGTATGTCATACTCTGGGGTAACTCGTGGATCAGAATTTCTTACAGGGGCGGAGACAACTAACAAAGAAATACTCTGCCTCTCCTAGGGAGGGTTTACTGAGTTGTGAAAGCTCTCCTTGGGACTTTATCCCACTTCAAATTGTCCCTGAGCTATGGATGAAGAAGAGGAGGGTGGTAGGAGGGTCTGAGGTGAAAGCGGCAAGGCAGCACAACATGACTTTAGAGTCAGGTCTGGGGCAGATGTGTTGGAACAGAACCTCTTTGCTTTCCAGCTCTGGTGACAGTTCCCAGCATGGGCTATGCAACAGTGAGGGAGCCGTTGCTGCCCCCTCAGCCTGTGGCAGTGAGGAAAGAGGTAAGCACAACAGCAGTTGTCCTCAGATCGGTGTACTCTGCATCAAGCGCTGACTGGGGAGAACTCCAGGGAATCCATCATGCACACATGAGATTTGCAGCTGGGACACTCAGCTGCCAGAGGTGTGGATCTGTGAAATCTGTTTTTGCCCACTTCCTCAAGGAGGATGGCTCTGTTGTCATGGAGAACGGGATCATTGCAGTCTGCCTGGACACAATGGGGCACCTGACCTCGCTTCGGCTGGTAGACTCCGAGAGGTATGTCTGTCACCCACTTACTGGAACTGGGGTCCTCAGACCTATCTCAAGTCTTTGCCCTTCCTTCTCCACTGCCAGTTCTTCTTATGTTGCTGTTTCTCTGTTCCACTTTCTTCCAGAGAGTCAGTCCCAGATGGCTGCTATGCCAACCAGTTTGCACTCTTTGATGATGTTCCCCTGTACTGGGATGCCTGGGACGTGATGGATTATCACTTGGAAACCAGGTAGAGGAATAATGCGTGCAGTACTGGGATTTTGACTTTGCTCTGAAGTTACTGCTTTCCTCCCAGTCCTAGCTGTAATGAAAGCTGTAACAGAGCATTCACTCTGGAGAAGTGAGTGCCTGCTCTGCGGGAGGCTGGCTTGGGATTGGGGAACCTGCATCTACCAGGCTGAGACCAGCTCTACCTTTATCCTTTTCTCTAGGAAGCCGGTGACAACACTGCTGAAGCCTCTGGAAGTCACCCTGGCTGGGGGCCTGCAGGGAAGAGCAAGCTTCTCTCTGCAGATCGGGAAAAGCAGCACCTTAACCCAGGAGATCATCCTGGATGCCACGTGCCCGTACCTACGCTTCCTGACCCAGGTTTGGCCAGCGGCTGCTCTGCGATACGGGCATCTGCGCCGGGCAGGCAGGGCCCTGGGGAGCTGAACCTCGAGGCTAAATTATGTTCCTCCTCCCATTTCCTTTCCTGAACCTCCTGCCCCGCCTGTTCTCTGCCCTAGGGGAAGGCAGCCTGAGGGTAGGGATCCTGAGGGAAAAGAGACCTGCTGCCAGTTCGTCTGCATTCAGGCTCTAGTGCAGTTTTATTGTCCTTGGTCTGGCTTGGGTGTGAGCTGGCTGGTGTGCCAGGGGGAAGCATAAGTGTAGCCTCTGCTTGTTAGTGCCCCTGATGATGTCCTTCTACTACCACATTTAGGTGGAGTGGAAGGAGGCTCACAAGTTCTTGAAGGTGGAGTTCCCTGTGCAGGTCCGGAGCACAAATGCCACCTATGAGATCCAGTTTGGACACCTGCAGCGGCCAACACACTGGAACACATCCTGGGACTGGGCTCGATTCGAGGTAAGAGGAAAGGTGGTCTGGTCCCAAGGCTGAGCTGCTCCTCCCATGGTGGGGCTGCTTCGGCTCTCAGGCAGTAGCTCTGTGTGGTGAACGTGTCCCTTGGTACCTCCTGCAGGTGTGGGTTCACAAATGGATGGATCTCTCCGAGCACGGCTTTGGGGTGGCACTGCTGAATGACTGCAAATACGGGGCGTCGGCCCACGGGAATGTCCTCAGCCTCTCGCTGTGAGTTGGGGTTGGGGTGAGGGTGAAGCTGCAGCAGTCACTTCACTTCCAAGAGACGCCTCAGAAAGCAAAGGCAACAGCTGGTCTTAACTGATCATAGTTAATAAGGTCTGGTATTAGCCTTAGTGACTGGCTGTCGTCTGAGAACTTTGGGCTGACTTAATTATAGTTAACTAAGAGAATGTCATTCCTATGAGTTATGCTCATAGATAATTCAGGAAAGATCAGGTACACATTTGCACCAAGTGATTTTTCTGTTGCTGGCCAAAACATGCTCCAGGAACAAAAGCTGAAGGAGAGGGAAGGAACAGCAAATGTTATGGATGCAGACAAAGCTAAGAGAAACTATATATTAAAGCTTGACTCCGTCAGCCTCAAGTTGCATAGGGAAACAGCCTTCAAATTTTTTAGCTTCTGGCACTGCCCAGGGTTGGCCCCCAGCCAGCAGCACCAGTGGCTTCCACCTCAGGGCCCAGCCCCAGGGCAACAGTGCACTGCTGACTCTGCACTTGGTGACAGGGCAGTCTCACCTACCTCTTGTTGCTTTAGGCTGAGAGCCCCCAAGAGCCCTGATGCCACAGCAGACATCACACGCCACCAGTTCACCTACGCCGTGATGCCTCACCTGGGTGAGCAATGGGCAGAGCTGGGCCCTATGGGGACATGCAGGGTGGGGGATGCTCCATCAAGCCTTGGGGTGAGCACATCTCTGGCTGTGCCCGTGTAGAGGCTGGCTGGAGGTTCTGGTGTTGCAGATTCCTTCCAGGATGCCGGTGTGATCCAGTGTGCCTACAACTTGAATTTCCCCCTCCACGTGGTCCCAGCCAGCTCTGCCCAGTGCCCGGCCTGGAGCGCCTTTTCTGTCAGCTCCCCTGCAGTCGTGCTGGAGACTGTCAAGCAGGCAAGTGCCCCGGGGCAGAAGTGGGGAGCGCAGAGGGGTTCAGCTGTTGTTGCTAAGCATGGCTTGCTCTTTCCCCCATGTCGGGTGGCCCACAGGCTCAGCTGAGGGGGGACAGTGATCCCTCTGGTTTG